TACCGAACGAAACCGAGCACGACCTTAGGTTTCAAAACCTACCTAATGGCTATTCTGGTGGTTTCCGAGTTTGAAATCATTTTCCATATTCACGGGAAAAATCTCTCACTTAAACAAGAGCTAGAAAGCTTTGCGTTTGTGACTATTCATACAAGTGGCCGCGTGTGTTTGTTTCCTTTTATTTCCATTTGACTATACAGGGTGTCCCACACCACCCATTCACCCCCTCTTAAATAGAGGGATATGTTTTTTTATTGAACGCCGCCGGGGATGCTCTATCTTTTGTTGGTATTCGACTTCCGGATTCGACCGTAAGAGGGATAAACTGACCGGAAGTCCATTTTTTATAATTAAATATGTATGTCTTTAATACAGATTCGGATTCTGTGGAAAAAAATACTCCACTTTTGTTGCAATTTTTATTCTCGAAAGGGCTTTTTTCAATCTCTAAATGACCTTCGAACTTTAACTCGTTGAAAAGGGCACTTCCGAGAAAAAATATTCAAATGAAACTTGTCTGCAGAATCCGAACCTATAGTAAAAACATACATGTGTAATTAAAAAGGACTTCCGGTTAGTTTGACCCACTTTCGGTCCAAGCCGGAAAAAATTTTCAAACAAGAGTATGCATTTTTTTACGCAGAATCAGAATCAGTCTTAAAAATATGTAATCCCACTCAAAAAAATGGATTTACGGTGAGTATAACCCATTTCCGGTCGAAACCGGAAGTCGGTAATACGACCATAAGATAGGTACTTGGTAATTCTTATTTTTTCGTTTTCCTATAAAAAAAATTTCGTCCATTTGGAAGACCAGTAGCTCGTGTCTGTAACAATTCTCTACCAAGCTGAATTGAGATATGAATTCGCCGCTCTGTTCTCTACTGCCAATAAGTAGCGGAGAATGACGTATTTTCTATAACGGTAAAGAAATAATTGGTAGAGAAGTGTTACAGAAACGAACTACAGGACGAGATGAAGTTCGAAGGTCATTTAGGAATTGAAAACGGCACTTCTGAGGAAAAAGTGTCAAACAAGAGTTACGAATCTGTATCCTTGGAATTTGAAAAACTTACTTCCGGTCGATTTGACCCACTTCCGGTCGAAACTGAAAGTAGAATACCACCAAAAGGTAGAGCATATCCGGTCTAGTATATAAAATTCTTTCGGTTTTCAATAAAAAAAAAAATCTCCCCCCATTTTAGAGCGGGTGGACGGGTGGTCTAGGACACCCTGTATACATATGCACATATGAATAATGTGTGTGTGTACGTACGCGATTCTAAGTGAATATGTTTGCAAGTCCTCTTGTCTAGGCAGCCAAGCATCGCACATTGGCATACATTTGAAGCTAGTTGGTTTAGTGGAACAAGTGTGATCTCAAAGTGAAGTTACAGTGGTAATGAAAGCAATTTTTTTTTTCAATAAAATTGCCTAATTTGTGATGATTATGATGTCGCAAGGCGAATTCATATAAGGTGGTGTTGTTAGAATAGCTGCTTTAATTTGGTGGAATTTTTTTCCCTCTTCTTCCTTGGGCGAAGAATAGCTGAAATTGAACATTTGTGTGCCGAAGCAAACACAAAATACATGTAAGTTTTTTTTGTTTTTGTAATACCGCTATGAATTCGCCTTGTGATGTCGTATAGAAAACAAACTCAAATCGAAGTTAAAATAAAAAATTTGGCGAAATGTATAACGTTCCTTGCTTTTAATCTATATCGAATCAAATTACGAAATTACCTCTTCCATACCCTCTTCAATTAAACTTTTAAACAGCCTTTGAACACTGTGCATACGTCGCTTAATTTCCTGACTTTTTATATTCATGCGTTCAACCGGCAGCAAAATGTCTGCTAATCGCGAAATAAAAGTGTACAGAAGAGGGCCAAAAAAAAAAACAAAAAAAAAAATAAAAAATAAAGAAAAAAAACACTCCCCAAAACAGGCTAGCGATATGGGGTAAAGTTGTGCGAAATTGAGTATTTGAAAATTAAAAAAGGATTTTCTTTTTTGCACAATCCCTGCAATCACTTCACCAGAATTTTAGCAACACCACTTACGTGCATTTGTGCGAACATTTTCATCATCATTATCATCAGCAACCGCAGCGGCTTAAGCAACGCCAACACCACCAGCGGAGCACTGGAGCAACGCTATCACTACCCAGCAAAATAAAACACGATTAGCACAGAAATTAAAATGGGATCGAATTAGCCGATGGGAATCGCTTACCGTTTCGGTTCAAGAAGGCATTATCTCTTACATGGGCATGTCATTGGCCGAAAGCCCTTACCCGCAGCATTACTTTCAAATGAACGGAGAACGCATGGATGAACAGAATCCAGAGAAGCGAACAAAGAATGCCTTGCAAAGTAACTAATGTAGAATGCCTAGATAAGTACATACTTATGTACATCTATTAAATTGAAAACAGAAAATAATCTTAAAAGATTAAAATTAATGAAAATATTTTTAAATCAGTTTTTATACATACATACATATGTATGTATTTAGGTATTTAGATCTTACTTAAAACTCGGTATGTAAATACATATCGTCGTTTAAAGTACAAAACCGCGTATCGTCATTCTGCAAAACCGCGTAACTGACATTGGCTGCCAAAAATTGGATTTGCTCACACAAGCTCTTGACTCAATCCTTATCCATTCGTCCTGAAATATACTAGCCAGAAATGTGATTGATTTATAAAAAAGAGAACTATTTTGAAATATGAGTGCTTTTACGCTCCAGAAAATAATTTCTACAACTTCGCATAAGCGGTTTTGCATTTTGCTGATACGCGGTTTGGCATTTTGTTGATACGCGGTTTTGCACTTTAAACGACGATATGTAGACATTTAATTAAATTTAAAATTGTACTTACCCACTTCATTGACTGACTTCAACTTCGCTGTAAATAAAACTAAGAAAAAGATGATTTTTATGCGATGGAATTTTCCATAGAAAGTAACGGTAGAAAAGAATATTGTAGTACATTCAGGTATGTATTACCGGCAATGCCCAAAAGAAGCGAAAAAATTGGAAGACACTATAAGCCAATGCGTTCTAGAATACGTTACCAATAGGAGCGATTACCGATTTTTTGCTGGGTAGCAACAGGAGCAGCAGCAACAGCAATGGCAGCCATGCAACACAACCACAAAGCAAATATAAACCAGAGCGTTGCATGTAGCGGTTATTGAGGTTGAGGTGTTAGGAATGTTATTGTTGTTATTGCGCTTTCTGTTGCTATACATGTACGACACGTTATTTATGTATGTATGCGCATAATACACCAACTCCTACATGCAAATTTGTTTAGCATGCATGTATGTGTGTGTGTTTGTGTGCGAAAACAAGCCAATATGCCGCCGTGGTTTGCTTAAAATATTCACTTGCAAATTTCAGATTTATTTTTTGTATTTACCTCATGTAGGAGTGCGCTCTCCCGTCTCCATGAAATTAAATTTTTTCACATTTTGCATATTCATTTTTTTACGGCGATGACTTTCCAAAATTTGCAGGGGTTTGTCTTTTAATTTTTCCATGCGGAATTACAAGTACCCAGTCGCGTAAAGTGAATGTGTTGTAGCATATGTGTGGCATCAATTCAGCCACACACACACACACACACACACAGATACTTAAACACGCTTTCGCACATAAAAATTTAGTAATATAAAATAAATGCGATGTAGCAAAAAATAAACAGAGTATGACCAGCACACAAATTCATTTTTAACCCTCTACGCATTGCTGGTTGCGAGGACGTAAATTTTTTTGCCAAACGTAGCGTAGTACGTGAGTGGCCTTTAGAATTCGTGATTGAAAGAGAACAGTGTAGAGCGCTAGTCGTAAGAGAAGTGAAGAGGAAGCAAATGAGTGCAAGGTAAATGTGGGTGGCGGTGTGTGAGTGCGCGATTTGAATTAATGAGTTTTTTGGCAAAAACACGAATAAATAAATATTTGGTGTAAATACTCAGTAGGGTGTGCAAGGCTGCTGGCTATTGTTGGTTTCCTGTCAAAAAGTGTCTAGTACATATTTTAGTAATCCTTGTAGATTAAAAAATATTTTTAATATTTATTATGTGAACATGCACACGTACTTATGTACATTCATATGTGTATAATTTTTTATTGCAGACGGGCTTTGATAGCTGAAATTAGAGTGAAATCAGAACGTTTAAGTAATGATTATAAATTGTAATGATTACCTATTTAATTTTTAATTTTTTTTGAAGTGAAACTTCTTTAGCGGCGGTTGGATGGTTGAGAGTAAATTTGCAAATTCAACGGAAATGGTGCAACGGAAATAGTGCAACGGAAATGGTGCAACGGAAATGGTTGGCACGGAAGCAAGTGCTTCTTGAATGTACGTATGTTATTAATTTAATAAAAACTTGCTAATAAAAGGATAAAGATTAACACTTAGAAAAATATCAATACAAGAAGCGAACAAAAGCGAAAACAAAGATGCGTAAAAATAAAGTCAAAAATGAAGACCAAGGTAAATTTAAACACTTTACTTATATATACAAGGGCAAAGGTGAAGGGGAATATGTAGAAGAAAATGATAAATATAAAATTAAAAACAAAGATAAATAAAAGGAAAAAGATGGTGAGAATACCGATAAAAGTAAATATGAAGATAGGGGAAGAAAAATTAAAATAACGGTAATTATAGAGAAAAGGATATAGATAGAGGCACAGAGCCTCAATCTGGGAACTATTTCGAGATTTTAGAGATTTTCGGGATTCTTGGGACATGTCGATATAATAATCGATATTTTTGTCAATTTGGTTATTGGTTTTGTTATCGATATTATTATCGATATTGTTATCGAACTTTTTATCGACATTGTTATCAATTTTGCTATCTATTATTTATCGATTTTGTTATAGATTTTTTTGTCGATTATATATCGATTTTTTCATCGATATTTTAAGCGATTTTGTTATCGAAAGCGGCTTCAATGATCGCGGGACTATCGCGAATAATGCTTAATACGCGAGGACCGAATCAGCGCAGGTGTTTACTCTTAGCGAGCGTGGTGAAAAGCCAAATACTATATGCGGCCCAAATTTGGTCAAACGCGACACAGTGTCCAGAATACTTCCGTGGTGTCAACTCAACATGCCGTTTATGCGCGCTCCAAATTCGCAGCGCCTTCAGAACAGTGTCGGGCGAGGAAGCTTTCGTAATCGTCAGTATGATACCCGTAGATATACTGCCGCGAGAATCGACGGTCCTTGTATCCACGCCGCGTACTCTAACTCAATTAGACCGACGTCCAGCCCGGGAAGTCAGCATTACGGAGTGGCAAACCAAGTGGAATAGTACGACTAAAGTTCGTTGCACCTATCGCTGCATACCAAATCTGGAATCTTGGCTTAATCGAACGCATGGCGAAGTACATTTTTATCGTAGTCAGTTTTTGAGTGATCTTGGCTGTTTTAAAGCATACCTGTTTAAATTCAAACATGAGCACGACCCGTACTGCGACTTCTGTCGCAGTGCCGTGCAAAAAGATGTCCACCACGAGTTCTTTGAGTGTGCTCGATTCCAAAGGCAGATGAACCAACTGAAACTAGCTGTTGGAGGGGTGTTCACGCCACAGTCAGTAGTCGGCTATATGGTGAAAGAAGCCAGTGAATGGGCATCAACCAGCGACACACTAACTTCAATTTTGAAGCAACCAAAGGACCTAGAGAGACAGCGGCGTATCACCCGTGATTAAGCCACCTCTTAGCATAGCCGCGGACTGGAACCAAACTATGATGTTCACCAACCAAAGCGTAGGCGCGGACTGTAGCCTAGGCCGTTCCAGCCGCTCGAGAAAGACGACTTAGAAACATGTGCTTTCAGACCGCTCCCTTAACATGGAATTTACCAATTGAAGCGCAAGCGCGGACTGGAACCTAGGGCGTTCCAGCCGCAAATAAAGTGGAGTTTAGAATTTCGTGCACATGGGGCGTTAGTGCGGATTGGAGCCTAGACCACTGTGGACGCTCGCGATGGTTCTATCATATGAGAAACTAAGGTAAAGGGCAAGAGCTCGTATTTAGTGTCATCACAATGGGTGAAACTAGCCTAAGTGTGTCTCGCTGCGGTCTGTACAGAGTACTCGGACTTCTTTGGATAATGCGCGGACCAGGGTTTAACCTGCTTCGCAACTTGTATTAGCGTGCTCGTCCTTCAATTATATAAATATGCTAACAATTAATTAGAAAAAAACGCATTTGTATTTTGCACCATCTGCGCTGTAAAATAGTGTAGTTAAAAATAAACTTTTCTTGGGTCAATGATTTTAATATACATACATACACAAATATCTAAATCTTTCAAATCAACAACTCAACTTGCTCCCTTATCTTTTATTTTACTTTTTTTAATTTGATGGTTTTCTTTGGAAAATATTTTACTTGAACTGCATACTATTTTTTCTAATATTCCAACTTCATTCACATATTAAGTTCACGCCAAGTAATCACATAAAATACACACACACCCGCACTCACGCACTTATGTAACGGGTGATTTTTTTGAGGTTAGGATTTTCATGCTTTAGTATTTGACAGATCACGTGGGATTTCAGACATGGTGTCAAAGAG